GAACAACTTTTTTTTCTCCAACAGTTTCACAATTATTTGATGTTGTATATGAATGAAATAAAAAAAGATGCAAAAAAATGTATATATAATATTAGGATGACCCCAAAAAGACAAAAGTTCTCATTTTATTTTTTGTCCTCCTAATTTTTCCAAATTGAGAAAAAATTGTATTTTTTTATAATTTTTTTTTTTATAATTTAAAATTAAAATTTAAAAAAAAAAATGTCGTTTCAATTATTTTTAGCAATTCTTTTTAGCATTAATTAATCGATTAATGCTTAGAAGAATTGCTAAAAATAATTGAAACGACAGTTTTTTTTAATTTAAATTTTAAATTATAAATAAAATTTTTTAATTTTTAACATAAAATTTACGATTGATTTCTTATCAGCTCTTTAAATTTGAATTAGTAAAAATGTTTACTAAGTAGAATTAGTTACTGAATTTTTTCTGTTGAATTAGTAAATTTTACTAATAAATAGTAAGTTCTACTAATTTTTTAGTTAAATTTATTTATTCAAAAGAAAAAATCAATCACTGATTCAAATAAGTAAAAATTTTTACTAATTCAAATTTGGAGCGAAAAACGCACTTTTCCATAAATTTTCTCTTAAAATGTCAAAAAACAATTTAGCAAGGCACCTAAATACTTCTTCAAAAAAAAAAAGCTTTAAAAACAGTATTTCACTATTTATTTAATAGTTTGATAACATTTAACCTATTTTTCATAACATTTTAAAATTTAAACAAACTTTGCAAATGCGAAAATATAATAATTATAATATTTATTTGGATACACTCAGAAAAATATTATGTATTAATCAAATACTCTAAATATTAATTATTTAGTTTAAATAAAAATTTCGTTCAGTTTAATAAATTCAGGGATTACAATGATTTTTCTATGGAATATTAAGTAAAAAAGGGGATTTTTTTCTAAAAAGGGGATTAAGTTTAAAAAACAACAATAAGCAATAAACAAATATTTAATTTTATTTTTCCCTGACTTTTCCCTGATTTCCAGAAAAAAAATTCACTTTTCCCTGACCCTAAAGAATATTCTGATTCACTCTAAAAATTATTAGATACTCAAAAAAAAATGTTCTATTACATTTATTTACAAACTTCTTTAATTGTAAAATTATTTAGAAACATCAATAACTTCTTTCTTAAATAAATATTTAATCATTATTATTTTTCTGTAGGAATTAAAATTCTTCAAAATATTCAAATTTAAACCTTTTTGAAATTCAACAACTTATAAGAATATTATTACAAAACATGAAGAAGACGATCTTCTTCATGTTTTGTAATAATTTAAATTGCCATAAAATTTTTTAAAATAAGTTAATTATTTACAAAAATCCTAAAAAAATACTTCGCAAAAATTCAATTATTTTTACAAGAAGTACAATTTCACAAAAAAATTCCATTATTTAAAACAAATGTAATAAAATTCGTTGCAATAATTCAATTATTTTTATAAATAATAATAATAAATCGATTATTCGTTCATTCATTTTTAAATCAACTTTTATTAGAAAATTCTAGAAAAATTCAATTATTTAAATTAAAAAATAAATAATTTATTGAATAATTCAATATTTGTTAAAATTGAATTCTCATAAAGAATTTTATTAATAAAATTTTAAATAATTGAATTCGTTTGACAAATTTTAATAAAATTTTTAAGAATAATTACATTTATCGAGGAATTTGATTAAAATATTGTATAAAAAATAATTCATAAAAATAATAATTAAATAAATAATTAAAATTTTCATAAAATAATTGAATGTCGGAGAAAAATTTTATTATTTATATAAACAATATTGAATTCTTACAACGAATTTTATTCAAGTTTATAAAAATAATTGAATTTCGGTGAAGAATTTTATTATTTATAAAAATAATTGAATTCTTAAAAAGAACTGTGTTAAATTTTTTTAAATAATTAAATTCTTGCGACGAATTTTATAAAAATATTTTTAAATAATTGATAATTTTCGAAAAATTTTATGAACTTTTGTATTTTAACTAATTGAATTCCTGTGAAAAGTTTATTACTTATGAAAATAATTGAATTATTTTGAATTGATTTATTAAAAATTGAATAATTGAATTCCTACGACATTTTGACAAGAATTTTATTAAAATTCTTAAATATAATTGAATTTCGATGAAGAATTTTATTATTTATAAAGATAATTGAAATTTTGACAATATTTCTTTTTTAATTTTTGAACATAATTGAATTTTTGCGAAGAATTTTATTATTTTGAAAATAATTTAATTCTTCCAACGAATTTTATTCAAGTTTATATAAATAATTGAATTCCTACAACGAATTTTATTCAAGTTTATAAAAGTAATTGAATTTCGGTGAAGAATTTTATTATTAATAAAAATAATTGAATTCATGAAAATATTTTATAAAAATATTTTTAAACAAATGATAATTTTCGAAAAATTTTATGAAATTTTGTATTTTAAATAATTGAATTCCTGTGGAAATTTTATTACTTATGAAAATAATTGAATTATTTCATAGAAATTTATTAAATATTGAATAATTGAATTCCTGTGGAATTTTAACAAGAATTTTATTAAAATTTTTAAAAATAATTGAATTTCGATGAATAATTTTATTATTTATAAAGATAATTGAAATATTGACGAGAATTTTTTTTTTATTTTTGAACATAATTGAAATTTGGCGAAGAATTTTTGTAACTTTTGAAAATAATTGAATTTCTGTAATCATTTGTAACTTTTCCAAAATCCAATTTTTTTTAGTATTTTTAACTGAAATTCTTCTATCAATCTAGTATTTATGAAAATTGTAAAAATGATTTATAAAATAATTTGTAAGTCATAATTTTATGATAGTTTTTGAAAAATTCAGTTATTTAAAAATAAATTATTGTCAGAAATTGAAAAAATTGAAGGTTTTGTATTGAAATTCGAGGTAATTTCATAATTTACGAGGCAAAAAGGAAAAAAATTCAGAGTTTTCTCATGTATTTTATAAATTCAATTTTTTCCAGTACTTTTAGTAAAAATCCCTGACTTTTCCCTGACCAATTTTACTTTTCCTGACCTGTGGCAACCCTGTTCCAAAATAAGTAAAAATTATTGTATTAGGATAACGCATAAAATTGATTAAAAACTTTTTCTTTACTGTTTCTCTTAACTACAGCTTTTTAAAATAAAATTATTTTTTTGTTGTTAAAATTTTTATAAATAATTATTGACATTTGTTTACTTTCTTCGGTAGTTTGTTACTTTCTTTAAATGTTTAATCAAAATTTTTATTACAATCTTACTTTTTTTTAAATTCCATTAATTTGAATATATTCACAATGTAAATTTCGGAAAAAAAGTTAGTAAAATTAACTTGGGTCGTGGAAAAAATTCCTTCAAAAATAGTAAAATTAAATATTACAAATTGTTATTTACAGAATTACTTTTACTATTTTTAAAGAAAAATTTTTTTTAAAATAAAAATTAGAAAAATTTACTTTAAAAATAGAAACTAAAATTTACTCAAAAATAACTTTTAATAGCTAATTGTAATGTTCGAGGATAATTTGAATAATTTTTATAGAAAAAAATTAACATTGAAAATAGTAAAGTTTGCTATTAAATATCGTTACTTCAATAGTAAATTTTATAATAGTATTAAATTTTATTGAAAATTAGTAAAATATACTTTGAATTTAGTAAAATTTATTTTGCAAATAATACAATTTGTCCAAAATTCCAAACAATTTGGATTTTTCTTAGAAGTAAATACTATTTTATATTTGTTGCCTTTTATGAAAAAATTTCCAAGTTTCAAGACTCTGAGAAATAATATAGAAAGATTTTTAAGTTTCAAAAAACAATAATTTTTCCAAAGTTTGCGAAAAATAGAAATTTTTTCTCTAAGTATTTATTATTTGATTCTAAATTCATAGAGCAAATAATTAAAAATCTTTTCAAAAATATTAATAAATTTTCATCTCAAGAAAATATTCAAAACTGAAATTGAAAGACCATTTTTTTCCATTTTTGACGTTTTTCTTTTGAAAAGACAAGAAATTTTATGTGACGAGAAATTTATTATAAAGCTGAAAAAGTGAGTATTTCAGTGTGTCAGAATCAAGAGTAAAATTTTAAACAAATTGACACTAAAATGTATATTGACGATAAAAGTTTTGCAACCAGGATTGTAAAAATTTCTTAACGATACATGTTTCATTTTCTTTACAGTGACATAAATAGGGAGGGAAATATAGAGACATATAGAGGACACATTAGGGACACATAAAGTGTACTGCAGTGGCTAAAATTCACATATATAAATGTTATAGGTTATAATATTTATAAAAAATATTTCTTTTTTTTTTTTTTTGAAAATACGTTGACAGAAGACCCTTCTACTTCGTTTACGATCCGGTAATTAGTTTCGAACCGAACGAACAGACAGTTTTATTTTTAGGATAAATGCACAACGGATATGTTCAATTCACAATTCATCACAGTTCGATAAACAATTTGCAACCAACTTCGTGCCACTAAAACCAACCTACATTTCACTGATAGAGAGACAGAATTTTCATTTTTATTTACTTTCTCCCATTGAGTAATTATTGCATATTAGAGAGGAAAAATATTTTTCTGAAATTAATGGACACATTTAAAATTTGCCCACACGGGGAGAATTTAGGTAAGATTGATTTAATCATAAAATTAAATTTATTATTTTATTATTCACATGATAATTATTCGTAAATAATTATTTTTTCGAAATTTTCACTAAAGTTGATCCTAAAGTTTATCAAATACTTACTATTTTTATAAAAATGGAAAAATGAAGCTAAATTAAAAATTTTCAGTCAGATATTTTCATTCGGTTCATCAAAAAAAACTTTGCTGTTTCGTGCAAATAATTAGTTGATTCATTATTCAAATATTAACGAATCGAAAATTTCGCTTTGATGGAGTCAAATAAAAAAATGACTGACGAGAGCGATGGCAGAAGAAATACAGATTATTTCCTGCGTTTCGTACCAGAAGAGTAATTATCCAAATATGTCTATATTTAACCTATATTAACGGAAAATTCTCGAAATTTTTTCCTATAAACAAAAAGAAGAGTGACAAACTAATGAATAAACTATTCACAGACTATTGATAAATAATTATAAAATTATTAGACTTTTTTTTAGTGATATTCAATTTATTATTGTTATGCAAATTACAAATATTTTTAATCTTCAAATATAAATTTTTAAAATAATTTTATAATCAAAATTTAAAAAATTCACTTATTAAGTACAAAATTAATTATTACTGTTCATATTCTCTAGAATTTTAATAAATCCTTCGAAAAAATTCAATTATTTTTATAAATAGTAAAATTCTTCACAAGAATTAAATTATTTTTAATCAAATTTAAATAAAATTACATGAAAGAATTTAATTATTATATTCAAAAATTTCCATAAAATGCAACTTCAACAATAATTTAAAATTCTCTAGAAATAATTCAATTATTCTCAAAATATTTTAAAAAAATTCTATATAAAAATTAAATTAGTAATTTTTAAATATATTGGTCAACAAAATTGAAAGAATTCAATTATTTTCAAAAAAGTAATAAAATTCTTGTAATGAATTCAATGTTTTTGAATATACATAATTTTAATAAAATTCTTTAAAGAAATTCCATTATTTTCGAAACAACTTTAATTGAATTTCTCGAAAAAATTTCATTATTTTAAAATATTTCTATAAAATTCTTCATAACAATTTAATTATTTCTTAAAATTTCAAAAAATTCTCGCGAAACATTTTAATTATTTTTTTCAATAGTAAAATCTTTACAAAAATCCAATGATTTTTAAAACAATTTTAATTGATTTCCTCGGATGAATTCAAATATTTTTTAATATTTCCATAAATTTCAATTATGTCCAAAAATTTTAATAAATTCTTCGAAACAATTTTTATAACTATTAGTCAAATTCTCCGCAAGAATTCAATTATTTTCAATTCACTTTTAATAAAATTCTTCTTCATAAAATTCAAATGCTTTCAAAATTTTCAATTAAAATAATTAAAGAAACTCCATTAGTTTAAAAAAAATTCAAAGAAATTCTTCAAAAGAATTTAATTAGGATTTTAACAAATTTTAATAAAATTCTTTGTGAGAATTCAGTTATTTTACTAAATAATATAAAATTCTTTGAAGGAATTCTATTATCATCAAATTTTTTTAAAAAATTCTTTGCAACAATTCGATGATTTTTAATATATTAATTTTAAAATTGAAAATATTTGAATAGAAAAATTATAAAAAAGTTAATAATAAAGCAATTTATTTTGCATTATTTTTGTTTATGAATCACAATTTTTTTAACAAAATTATTATTTTGTTTTAGAAAAAGAAGAAAAATATTTGCACAATTTCTATTTTTAATCTTATTTTTGGAACATGATTTTCCACAGGAATCTTGATTCAAAAATTTCAAATTCAATAACCTTTTTTAAATTAAACAACTTATAAAAGTATTTGTTATAAAATATGAAGATATCGATTGCTCCGAGTCGAAGACTCGAAGTGATCGATTTCTTCATTTTTTATAATAATTAAAAATGACCAAGTAATAAAATCATTATTTTATATTATTATAAGAATATTGTTACTGTAACTTCATCAAAATTATTTTCATCATTTTAATTCAATTATTATTTTCTAGAATTTTAAATTATTTTTTATGAAAATAATTGAATTCCTTAAAAAAATTTATTATTTATAAAAATAATAATTGAATTCATGTGAAAATTTTATTATTTATGAAAATAATTAAATGTTTGCATACAATTTTATTAAATTTTTTTTTAAATAATTGAATTTTTTTGGGAAAATTTTGTTAAAATAGTAGATATTGAAAATCATTGAAATTAGAAAAATGCATTTTATTTTTTAAAATAATTGATGTTAGGACAAGAATTTTTTTGACATTTAGGAAAATAATTAAATTTTGGAGAAGAATTTTGTTACTTATAAATAAGATAATTGGGATTTTTACAAATTTTTTTTTAAATTTTGTACATAGTTGAATTTTATAAGAAGAATTTTATTTATTTATTTTTTTTAAATAGTTGAATTTCTGAAATTATTTGTAATTTCTCCAAAATTGAATTTTTTTTAGTGTTTTCAACAAAAATTTGAATTAGAAAGTTTTCAAATTCTATTATTTTTAAAATTGATAATTTTATTTTAAAAAGGCAGTAAGAATTAAGCCGCGCGCTTTAGCGCGCGAATTGTTGCTAGTTTCTACTAATTTATTAACGAAATTTGCTAATTCAATAGCAAAAAGTCAGTCAATAATTTAAATTAGTAAATTTAAATTATTAATTTTCCTTTAATATAAATACGTAATTATGGAATTGAACCAACATTTGTTCTGTTGGTGTATTTTAAAAATAATATTGTACGCAAAGAGAAGCGAATTTTTGTCAATAACAAAATTGTCATAAGAAAAGTATAAGAAATTAGTACGAAGAATATAAAAATTGGTAACAAAGAACCAAATTTGTGAACAATGTGTTGAGTACATTTAATAATTGTTTAACTACTTTCTAGCATAGAGCAATTTTTTGCATTTAATTATAAAAAATAAGAAGAAGAAGAAGAAGAAGAAGAAGAAGAAGAAGAAGAAGAATATATGAATTTTTGTCACAGAAGAAGAAGAATAGACAACAAATCTAAATTCTTATCACAGAGCATCAAATTATTAATCTAGCATTAGATATAAGAAGTAAAAAAAAGAAGAATAAAACAAAACAATGTTTCCTTTTTTCCAGTCCACCAAATGTGGAAAATCCTGACGAAACATGTTGTCATCGAGTAACTTGCTGCTTTCCATTTCTACGTGAAAAATTAGTGACCCAACCACTGTCAACATGCGCGAAACAAGAATTAACGTGGTCCGATTTATTTTGGATAAAAACGTTCATAATTCTCACGCTGATAACATACGTACTCCTGTATTGTCTTCTGGGTCCACTGATGCTGCCAGGAGGCAATATGTTCGGTTTATTTATAATAGTTCTACTATCCTACTTTCTGGGCTGGTCCCTCACCTACATTCCGTATCTGCATTTACCGCCTGTTTTTGGAATGCTAATGGCAGGTATTATTATTCGAAATACTCATTTGTTTAACATGAAGGAGGAATTTGGTGCGGCAGACGCAAAAATTCGCACATTCTGCATGGCGTTTATAACACTTCGAATTGGATTGCAAATAACGACATCGCCAATCAGGGAGCATCCGTATTTTCTTATGGTTCTTGCTTTTCTGCCTTGCACAATGGAAGTATTGGGTGTTGGTGTTTGTGTCAAATTTCTTCTTCAAATGCCATGGAATTGGGCTTTCCTCGCTGGGTAAGATACATATATTTTCTTTAACTTTGACTATTTTTGTAGTTTCGCTATTTTTTCAAGGACCTTAATTTTTGGCAAATACTGGTTTGTTAATTGTGGCCTTAGGTTCAAACTTTACTATTTTTATAGTAAAATTTAAAATGACAGCCAATTTCTGTATGATTTGTAGGTTTCGATCAAAGAAGCAGTTATAATTTTATTCAAGACTCGATGTTCTCAACCCATAAATTAGAAAAAGGATTTAAAATTTCAATTTCATGAAAGCATTTCGTATTTGTATAAAAATTACGTGAATGTTCCTCTAAAAATTATGATTTGAAACTTTAATTTTTGACTGATAGGTCCATAATAATTTATGAAGTTGAAATTTGTTACCCTATCAGCACCCACTTAATTTTTAAAATTTAAATTTAAAGTTAAACATTTTTTAAGAAGCTATAACTAGCATCAAGTTATCATCATATTGCCCTATAAGTCAAATATTAAAGTTTTAAATCATAATTTAAAACCATTCTTGTAATCTTCATAGGAATACGAAATGCTTTCATTAAATTGAAATTTTAAATCCTTTTTTTAATATATGGATCAAGAACCTCGAGTCTTAGAAAACTTTTCGGACTAAAAATTAAAAATTACGGAGTAACGGCAATTACTGACAAAAATATGAACAGACCAAGTCAAATAAGAGAACATTTAACTTAAAACTAGAAATTAAATTTTTCATAATTCTATAAAACATGAAGATATCGATAACTTATTTTCATCATTTCAATTCAATTATTATTTTCAAGAATTTTTAATTAAACTTCTTCTTTAAATCAATTAATTTTAGAAGAAGTTCTCTGACAATTTTCAAATCCATTTGTTTACAGTATTCAAACTTGAAGAATTTAAATTATTCATAAATTCTTTGATTAAATTTATATTAGAAAATAAATACTTAAAATAATATTAAATAATATTAAAAAAAGATTCAAATACACTTATTTTTAAAATAATTAATTTCAAAGCTCAATTATTTCTAAAAATTCAAGATATAATGCTTTTAATATTTAATTATTATCTAAAACTTTAACTGGCATTCATTTTTATGGAATGAAAATCAATATTTATTAGAAAATTCTACTAGAATTCAATTATTTATTTAATTATCCAAAAATAAATATTTTATTGAATAATTGAATGTTTCTTAAAATTCAATTCTCATAAAGAATTTTATCAACAAATTTTTAAATAATTGAATTCTTTCGACGAATTTTTATAAAATTTTTAAGAATAATTACACTTTTCGAGAAATTCGATTAAAATTCTATTAAAAATAAATAAAATAATTGAAATTCTGCAATGAGTTTTATTATTTATGAAAATAATTGAGTTCCTAAAAAGAATTTTATTATGTACGAAAATAATTGAATCTCTGTAGAAAATTGTATTATTTATGAAAATAATTGAATTATTACGAAGAAATTTATAAAAAAAAATTGTAAGTAATTGAATTCCTGTGAAATTTCTATTATTTTATGAAAACAATTAAATGTTTGCGTAGAATTTTATAAATTTTTTTTAAATAACTGAATTCTTTTGGAAAATTTGATTAAAATAGTTGATATTGATAATTATTAAATTTAGGAAAATTTTTGAAAATAATTGTATTTCGGAGAAGAATTTTATTTCTAAAGATAATTTTTAAATTTTGACTAGAAATTTTTTTAATTGTTCAACATAATTGAATTTCTGCGATCATTTGTAATATCTTTTAAATTTTCCAAATAAAAACAATTTAAATAATATAAAAAAAATTGTATCAAACTTTTTCAAAAAAAATTAATTACAAAATTCAATTATTTCTAAAAATTCACGCTATATTGCTTTTAATAATTAATATTCAATTATTATCTAAGATTTTAACTGAAATCTATTTTTAAATCAATGTTTACGAGAAAATTCTACCAGAATTCAATTATTTAAATACAAAAATAAATAATTTATTGAATAATTCAATGTTTCTTAAAATGCAATTCCCATAAAGAATTTTATCAACAAATTTTTAAATAATTCAATTTCTTCAGGTAAATTTAAATAAAATTTTTAAGAATAATTACATTTTTCGAGAAATTCGATTAAAATTGTATTAAAAATAATTGAAATTCTGCGATGAGTTTTATTATTTGTCAAAATAATTGTATCCCTAAGAAGAATTTTATTACTTTTGAACAATATTTAATTTTTGCCAAGAATATTATTACTCTTAAAAATAATTGCATTTCCGCAAATAATTTGTAATTTTTCCAAAGTAAAATCTTTTTTTCGTGTTTTTAACTAAAATTCCTTCTATAAATGCATTATTTTTAATAATTTTTGAAAAAGTTCTTTAAGAATGTTCAAATTCATTTGTTTACATTTCAATTTTACAAACTTTCAATTATTCGCAAATTCATCAATTAAATATATGTTAGAAAATAAAAACTTGAAATAATTTTTGAAAAAATCCGCAATTAACCTTTTTTAAAAAAAAATTAATTAAAAAAATTAATTCCACAGAATTGTTAGTTGAAAATATGGAAAATTTAGATTTTCAAATATTTTAATTTAAAACCGTTTCAAAATTCAATTATTTCTAAAAATTCACGCTCTAATGCTTTTAATATTCAATTATTATCTAAAACTTTAACTGAAATTAATTTTGAAATCAATTTTTATTAGAAACTTCTACTAAAATTTAATTATTTAAATACAAAAAAAAACAATTTTTTGAATAATTGCATATTTCTTAAAATTCGATTCTTATAAAGAATTGTATTATAATAAATTTTTAAATAATTGAATTCTTTCGACGAATTTTACTACTTATAAAAATAATTGAATTCTTTCGACGAATTTTATTACTCATAAAAATAATTGAATTCTTGACAAGAATTTTATTATTTATGAAAAAATTTGTATTTTTAGGAGAATTTTATTAAAATTTTTGGAAATAATTCAATTTCTGCGATGAATTTTATTTTTACAAAGATAATTTCAGTTTTGTCAATAATTTGTTCAAAGTTTTGGAAAATAATTGAATTTCGGATAAGAATTTTATTATTTATGAAAATAATTGAATGATTGCAAAGAAATTTATAAAAAATTTGTAAATAATTGGATTTCTGTGAAACTTTTTTATTATTTTATGAAAATAATTAAAGGTTTGCTCTAATGCTTTTAATATTTAATTATTATCTGAAATTTTAACTGAAATTCATTTTTAAATCAATTATTATTAGAAAATTCTACTAAAATTTTTAAGAATAATTACATTTTTCGAGGAATTCGATTAAAATTGTATTAAAAATATTTGAAATTTTGCAAGGAGTTTTGTTATTTATGAAAATATAATTGAATTTTTAAAAAGAATTTTATTATTACAATAATAATTGCATCCTTGTAAAAATTTTATTATTTATGAATAATTGAATGATTGTGAAGAAATTTATAAATAATTTGTGAATAATTGACTTTCTGTGAAATTTTTATTATTTTATGAAAATAATTAAATGTTTGTCCAGAATTTTATTTATTTTTTTTAAATAATTGAATTCTTTGGGAAAATTTTATTTAAATAGTAGATATTGAAAAATCATTGCAACAATTTTATTTTAAATTCTGCAATGAAATTTCTAATATAATTTGATATTTAATTTTTCCAGGACAATAATTGCCTGCATGTCACCAGTTATAACTGTGAATTGCATTTTGGCACTTGCTGAACGTGGATATGGTGAAGATAAAGGAATGGCGTCTTTACTTTGTGCAGCAACATCGATTGACGATGTTCACATTGTTGCCCTATACGCCTTCTGCTATTCTACAGTTTTCAGTCACGGTTTGTTTTTTGAATTTAAAATTTTTTACTAATATTGGAATGTGCCAAATTTTATTTTCATAATTAATGAATTTTAATTACTCAAAGTATTAGTTGATTAATTAAATACATTAATTACATAAATATTAAATAATTGATTTCAAAATTTTCATAATTGACTAAAAATTAAGTATAGGTGATGAAAAATGTAATTAAGTAGTTAATCCCTTTATTAAATTAATGTTTTAATTACTTATTACTTATTGAACTAACGTTTTAATATTATTCGAATTCAATATTTAATTACTTTTTAAATTAATGTATCGAGTCTATTAAATTACCGTTGGAATTATTTAATTAATTTTTAAATTAATATCAATTGATTATTATCAAATAATAATCAATTATTAAAATAATAAAATAAAGATTAAATTCTCAACGACTTGAATCTTAAAAAGTTAAAACTTAAATTATTAAAATATGTGAACTGAAAATCAAAAACTAAAGATTAACTGAAGAATCGGGTCATTTGTATAAAATTAATATCGATTAGAGAGGAGAAAAATATGTTTTTCAGTTTAATATAAACTTTTTTTTTTTTAATTTCCCGAGTGCAAACTACAAGACGAGAGATAATAAAATTTTAATAATATGTGGCAGATGAACTCAGAACAGAATGGTGGTCTTATATCCCCGGAGGAATAAGAGATTTTCTACTTGCCATTATCGCTGGAACTTTTCTAGGCACGCTCTTCATATTTTTTCCGCATCGCAATCACGTACGTATAACATTATATATATATAGAGTATTTTTCTCGACTGTTTTGTAAAAAAAAGGGACAAAATAAAAAAAAAACAAGTCATTTCCGCTCTCTTCCTCTCTCTCTCCCGCTGGAATTTCTGTGATTTATTGTATTGATCACTAAATCAAAAATATGGTGATACAACAAATATTTTATGTTATTCACAATAGTAATTATTATTCATAATAATATTAATAATAATAATTCATAATAATATTAACAATATTTATTATTAATAACATTATTATTAAATATCAATTGTTAATATTAATATAATTGTTTATTAATATCATGAATTGTTACCATTAAACCCAGACTCTCTATTTAAAAAAAAAAAAAAACTTATTTCATTGCTTGAACTTTTAGTGTTATTCCCAATAATAATTATTAATAATATTATAATTATCTTATTTTTAAAGGTTACAGATTACGAAATCCAAATTTTTGTTTTTCTTTAATTCGGTTTAGCTACACTGAAAAAAAAATTTAATTGATTAAAATAACCGATTAATTAACTAGTATCAATTAAATATTTTATTGAATCAAATAATATTTATTGGAGTCAATTAAATGGTTTACTTCATATTTGCTTCAAATACTGAAATTGTTGGTTCAAATACCATTTAATTGACTCCAATAAATAATATTTGATTCAATAAAATATTTAATTGATAATAGTCAATTAATCGGTTATTTGAATCAATTAAATTTTTTTTTCAGTGTAACTTTCATTTTTAATATTTATGCCTTGCTTGCTACATTTTAGAACTTTGCATTGATGAGAAATTTTTTGAAACCAATTTTATGCAAATTCTAATTCTGTTTGGATGTTTTCAAAATAATTCAATTTTACAAAGAATTCTATAAAATTTTTTAAAAATAATTGAATGTCTGTGTGGCATTTTATTAAATTTTTTTTTAAATAATTTAATTCTTAAGAAGCATTTTATTATTTATGAAAATAATTGAATTCTTGTGATGAATATTGCTATTTATGAAAATAATTGAATTTTGCAAAGAATTTTATTAAAATACCTAAAAATAATTGAATTCTTTCGAAGAATTATTTATGTAAATAATTGAATTCTTGGTATGGGAAGAATTTTATTAAAATCTAAAAGAATAATTGAATTATTTCAAAAAAATGTAATTAAACTGTATTTAAAATAATTGATTTCTTTCGAAACATTTTTATTAAAATATTTGAAAATAATTGAATTCCTGTGAAAAATTCTAATATTTTTATAAATAATTGAATTCTTACAAAGAATTTAAAAAAAAAAACATTTTTTTAAATAATGGATTTTTTCGTGGAATTTTAATTAAATTTTTAAAAATAATTACATTTTTCTATCAATTCTTAAAAAATTGTATTAAAAATAATTAAAATCCTGCGATGAATTTTATTATTTATGAAAATAATTTAATTATTATTGCGCAAAATATTTTATTAAAATGGTTAAAAAGAATTAAATATCTGTAAAAAATTTTGTTATTTTTGAAAATAATTGAATTGTTTATAAGAATTTTATAAATATTGTTTTAAATAATTAATTTTTTCGACATATAATAATTGAAAACAATTATTACACTCTAAGAAACAAAATATATTTACTTTTTTTTAAATAATTGAATTTTTTTGAAGAATTTTATTTAAATTTTTAAGAATAATTGCGTTTTTAGAGGAATAAATTAAAAATTGTATTAAAAATAATTGAAATCCTGCGATGAGTTTTATTATTTATAAAAATAATTGAATTTCTGTCACTGAACTTTAATAAAGTTTTTAAAATATGTAATTGCATTCTTGAGAAGAATTAAAAAAAATATTTTTAAGGGCATTTGAACCATTATGACGTCATAGGTTCTGCAAAGCATGTGTTTTAAGGCTGTGACGTCATCATGGTTCAAATGCCCTTAAAGAAATTATTTTTAAAAAAAATATTTTTAAAGAAATTATTTTTTTCAAAAGATTTTATGAAAACTGTGTTTTAAATAATTTGAATTTCTTTGAGAATTGTATATTATTTATGAAAATAATTGAATTCTTTTAAAAAATGTTATTAATATTATATTGAAAACAATTCAATTATTATAAAGAATTTCCTTAAATTTTTCAAAAATGATTGAATTCTTTAAAAGAATTTTGTTAAAATTTGTAAGAATTGTTTCATTTTTCGCGCAATTTATTTAAAATTGTATTAGAAATAATTAAAATCCTGCGATGAGTTTTGATATTTATAAAAATAATTGAATTATTGCAACGATTCTTATTAACATTTAAAAAAAATAATTGGATTCTTGAGAAGAATTTTATTATTTATAAAAATAATTGAATTATTAAGAAATATTTTATTAAAATGTTTAAAAAGAATTGGATTTCTGTGAAAAATTTTGTTATTTTTGTAAATAATTGAATTCTTTATAAGAATTTTATAAAAATTGTTTTAAATAATTAATATTTTCGAAATATAATAAAATATAATAAAAATGGTTTTAAAAATGAATTTCAGTTAAAATTTTAGATTATAATTAAATATTAAAAGCATTAGAACGTGGATTTTTAGAAATAAATAAATTTTGAAAAAGTTTCAAATTAAAATCATTGAAATTCTTAATTTTTCATATTTTTGACAAAAAATTCTGTAGAATTAATTCTTTTTAAAAGTTTAATAGGATTTTTATTGAAATTATTTCAAGTTTTTATTTCTCAATAAATATTTAATTGCAGAACTTTCGAATAATTGAAATTTTGTAAAATTGAATTGTAAACGAATGAATTTGAAAATTCTCAAGGAACTTTTTTTAAAAATTATTAAAAATAATGGATTTATTGAAGAATTTTCGTTAAAAACACTAGAAAAAAATTTAATTTTAGAGAAGTTATAAATTATTGCAGAAATTCAATTATTTTCAAGATTAATAAAATTCTTCTTAAGGATTCAATTATTTTTACATAATAATAAAACTCATCGTAGCGTTTCAATTATTTTTCATACAATTATAATTGAATTCCTTGAAAAAAGTAATTATGTTCATGCAAGTTTTAATAAACCACGACAAAAGAATTCAATTATTTAAAAATTTGTTACCTACTAAAATTCTTTATGATAATTGAATTTTGAGAAACATTCAATTATTCAATAAATTATTTACTTTTGCATTTAAATAATTGAATTCTCGTAGAATTTTTCATTTCATAAAAATTAATTTCAGTTAAAATTTTAGATAATAATTGAATATTAAAAGCAATTTAGCGTGAATTTTTAGAAATAATTGAATTTTGAAATTAATTTTTTTGAAAAAGTTTAATTTCGGATTTTTTTTTATATTATTTGCTCTTTTTATTTTCTAATGTATATTTAATTGAAGAATTTAGGAATAATTGAAATTTCGTGAAATTGAATATTGTAAACAAATGGATTTAAAAATTGCAAAAAAACTTTTTCGAAAATTATTAAAAATAATTGATATAAAGTAAAATTGTAGTTAAAATGTTTTGAAAATAATAATTGAATTGAAATAATGAAAATAATTTTGAAGAAGTATAATATTCTTATAATATAAAATAATGATTTTATTAATTGATCATCTTTAATCATTATAAAACATGAAAAAATGTAATGAACTAAAATTTCATTCATTGTGAAAAATAACACCAAAATTGATTATTTTAATCTTTTTTGGTGTTAATTTAATCTTCAACACTTTTTAATACCTCACTATTTACTGTGATAAGTTTATATTATCAATTCTTAATATTATTATAGATTATCATCATTAAATATTAATTATCCTCTGTTTACCTATTCAGAAAAATAAGCACTATTTCAGAAATACCTCCCGGACCGAAAAGTTGAATTTACAATAAATAAATATAAACCATTTCAGAAATACGCGACCGAGTTTCGATTGGCCTGCTTATCATTAAGCTCATTGATGTTTTGCTTTCTAATATCGAAAATTTCAGTGACTGGCGGAGGATTTCTTGCATCAGTCATTATGTCATTTATCGCGTCGACAGGATGGCGAATCTTATCGGCATCGTTTGACGTAAGTATATTAAATTTTATCGTCCCCTTTGACGTAAAAATATTTACTGCCATTAAACTGTGTGATATTAAGTCGATTAAAAGGGGAAAAAAATAAGAAGACGAAGAAGAAGAAGAATAACGAGAAGTGATTTTAAAAAGTTATTTTAGAAAATATTTTTTTCTAATAGTCAATAATCGACAAATTTTATTATGGCAGTCAATATTGATGCGATTTGATAGAGAAATTATTGGAATATCGTTTTATATAATCAATTAAGTAAATTCGTTTATAATGTTCTTATGATAACACATTATCATCACTATAATGTTTGATCATTGTTAATTGCTAATTATTAAACAAATGAGTAAATCGACAAATTATTGTAAATATTAATATGAAATTATGTGCAGCTTGCACCTTTTAGAAAAGCCAGTTCTGTTATATGGCATTTTATGCAACCGATATTAGTGGGAGTTATCGGTGCTGATATTGATTTTCACGATTGGTCTTCTGGAAGATTTGGTCTATACGCCGTCTGCATTTTAATTGGATTAATAGTTAGTGAAGATCCTATCAATTCCATTTTTTGTATTATTATTATTATTATGATACTCTTATTATTACTATTTAGTAATTAGTATTTACAAAGAGAAATATTTTCTATAGTAAACAAAGATTATATTGTCATTCACATTTTTTCCCCTATTCAGAAATATTCTTTACAGTCTTCTTGAAAGTATTAAATTGATACTAAAGTGGATCAAATTGATGCCAAAAAGTTGGATCAATTTTTTACTTGATCCACATTTTTGGTATCAATTCGTTGCAATTTGATACTTTTAAGTTACGTTCAAACCACTTTCATTACCTCAAAACAAAAAGTGATTTTTAACATAAAATAAAATTACAATTAAAATACAAAAAATTCACTTCTTTGCTTAATTTTGAAAACTTCAGTTCTCAGGGTGGTCACATATCAGTAAAATCAGTAAAATTATGGAAATATCAGGAAAACAAAATTCTTGTCAAAAGAGTCAGGGAAATGTCAGGAAAACAAAATTCTTTTCAGGAAAGTCAGAAAAATGACAAGGAAAAAAATTGTTTGTCAGAGAAATTAAGAAAATTTAGACTTTTTTCAACTTATTTTCAAAAATTGCGACTTTTTTTACTTTTTATCTAAATATTGCAACAAAATACCACATTTTTTAGTATAAAATGCAAGCCTCGCACTCATCTACTAAAACCTACTAATTATTTACCACTTTTTTTATGATTTACTACTATTTGGATACTTTTTTCTATGTTTGAGAATTTACATTAGTTTAAATTTATTAACAGTTGAAATAACAAAATTATTTTAAAAAATTTTTTAAAAAGTTATTGAAAACAATTCAAAAAATTTTAATAGAATTCTTTCAAACGATTCAATTATTTTCACAAATTTTTCGTAATTCAATGATTTTTAATATCTACTATTTCAATAAAATTTCACAAAAGAATTCAATTATTTAAAAAAAAAATTTTGATAAAATTCTAAGCAAACATTCAATTATTTTCATAAATAAAAAAATTTTCACAGGAATTCAATTATTTAAAACAGAATTTTTCTGATATTTTTCGAAAACAAATCAATTATTTAAATAGATTTTTATAAAATCTTCGCAAGAATTCAATTATTTTTATAAATAATAAAAATCTTCTCAGGAATTCAATTATTTTTAGAAATTTTAACACAAATCGTTGCAAGAATTCAATTATTTCCATAAATAATAAAACTCATGGAAGAATTTCAATTATTTTTCCAATTACTACTTTAAATTAATTAATCGAAAAATTCAATTATTTTCACAAATAAACTTTTCCACAAGAATTTAATTATTGAAATAAAAATTTTTATAAAATTTTTTACATTTCGAAAATATTAATTATTTAAAACAATTTTTATAAAATTCTTATGAAGAATTCAATTATTTTCAAAAATAACAAAATTTCTCACAGAAATTCAATTCTTTTTAAACATTTTAATAAAATATTTTTTAATAATTCAATCATTTTTATAAATAATAAAATTCTTCTCAGGAATTCAATTATTTTTATAAATATTAACACTCATTGCAGGATTTCAATTATTCTTAAAAATTTCTAACAAAATTCTTTGAAAGAATTCAATTATTTTAAAAAATTTTAAGGAAATTCTCTTTAATAATTAAATTGTTTTCAATATAATTTTAATAAAATTTTATGAAAGAATTCAATTACCTACATAAATGATATACAATTTTTAAAGAAATTCAATTATTTAAAACATAATTTTCATAACATTTTTTGAAAAAAATAATTTCTTTAAAAAGATTTTTAAAAAATTTTTCTCAAGAATGCAATTATTTAAAAAACTTTATTAAAGTTCGGTGACAAAAATTCAATCATTTTTATAAATAATAAAATTCTTCTCAGGAATTCAATTATTTTTATAAATATTAACACTCATTGCAGGATTTCAATTATTCTTAAAAATTTCTAACAAAATTCTTTGAAAGAATTTAATTATTTTAAAAATTTGTAAGGAAATTCTTTATAATAATTGAATTGTTTTCAATATAATTTTAATAAGACTTTTTGAAAGAATTCAATTATTTTCATAAATAATATACAATTCTCAAAGAAATTCAATTATTTGAAACACAATTTTCATAAAATTTTTTGAAAAAAATCATTTCTTTAAAAAGATTTTTTTTCAATTCTTCTCAAGAATGCAATTATTTTAAAAACTTTAATAAAGTTCGGTAACAGAAATTCAATTATTTTCATAAATAAAAAAATTTTTTCAGAATTTCAATGATTTAAGACAGAGTTTTCCTAATATTTAGAAAAAACAATTATTTGAATAGATTTTTATAAAATACTTCTCAATAGTTCAATTATTTTTATAAATAATAAAATTCTTCTCAAGAATTCAATTATTTTTAAAAATTCAAATAATAATTGTTACAAGAATTCAATTGTTTTTAAAATTTATCTAATAATAATCGTTGCAAGAATTCAATTATTTTTATAAATATTAAAACTGATTGCATGATTTCAATTATTTTTAATGCAATTTTAAATAAATTGCGCGAAATGTGCAACTATTCTTAATAATTTTAACAAAATTCTTTGAAAGAATTGAATTATTTTTATAAATAATATACAATTTTCAAAGCAATTCATTATCTAAAAAATAATTTTTAATTATTATTATTATTATTTTAAAAAAATTTTTTTTTCATGAAATTTAAAAAAAAATCATTTCTTTAAGAAGATTTTTTTCTCGTTTTAAATTCTTTACAAGAATGCAATTGTTTTAAAAACTTTATTAAAGTTCGGTCACAGAAATTCAATTATTTTCATAAATAATAAAACTCATTTTCAGGATTTTAATTATTTCTAATGCACTTTTAAATTAATTCCGCTAAAACCGCAATTATTTTTATAAATTTGAATAAAATTCTTCGAAAAAATTCAATTATTTAAGAAAATTTGATATAATTTGTTTCTTAGAGTTTAATAATTATTTTCTATTCATTTTTAATTACATTTCTTGAATGTTTTTTATTATTATCAAAAATTGTCATGCAATTTTTCGTAAAAATTCAATTATTTTAAAAAATGTTGATAAAGTTCTTTATATGAATTCAAATTTAAGAAAAATTCAATTATTTAATAAATTATTAATTTTTGTATTTAAATAATTGAATTCTCGTAGAAATTTCCAATAGGAATTGATTTAGAACTGAATAAAATAAAATGATTAGAGTTTTGAATAAATTTATTTGTAAATTTCAAGAAAAAAGTGATCGAATTTTGAACACGGAGAAACTTTTTCTTATAATATTAAATATATTTGGTTATGTTTATTCTAAAAGTACGTTAGAATGTGAGGATTTTTCGTGCGTTGTGCTAATAATTTCATCATTAATACGAAAATATGATAAGTTCGTTATATATTAAGCAACCTTCGGTGTACAAAAATTACTATCTGCATTAGAAATAGTCTTATTTTTCTTTAGAAAAGAATAAAATGCTAGTTTTTGTTTGTGAAATAATACGGTAATTCTAACCTTTTTTCCACATATATAGATAGAATATATAACAGACATTCTAACGTAACATACCAATTTTGGAAGGACTGCGGGCGGACTTAACCGATTTCGCCCGAGCATCACCGAGTCCATCACCTGACGTCGCGAACTAACCCTAATGTTTTCGAAGTTGAAATTCACACGTGTATGAAAGAAAAGAACCTTTTATTAATAAACGTGAATGTCTCCTCATGCCAAAATAAATTCAAGAACTTTTCCTCAATATAACATAATTTTTTTCACGACTTTTACTTATTTACATAATTTGATTAGTAAGTTATTTTAAAAAATGCTCTCTCTCGAAGGCACATATTTTTCCACTCGTTTAATATATAAGGACGATTCAGCTGTGTACTTCTAACGAATCGTGCGATCTTTCGGTTTCCGTGACCAATCGTCGTGTCTTTACTTGCGTGTGCGTGTGTGCGTTAATAATATAGGTTAGGTTCTTACGTCGTGTTAAATATATTTACCTACAGTTACAGTGACATACACTAATGCCATCTACCATCAGATCCAAGTATCACTATCGTCTCTATGAGTATCTATAGACAATTAATTTGTTGTGTTTCTTTTTAATTCATGGCTTTCCCAACTTTGCAAAAATTATTATTTTCTTTCTAAAACAACATACTAATTTTCGTTAGTTTCCTTATGAAGAACTGTAAAATATATACTGAATGAGTGTTTTTGATAGTCTCAATAGCAATTTCTATAACCTATGTCGTTTTTCCCTTGAATCTAACCTAACATACTAAAATGTCTCACCAGTTTTAAGAATTAGTGGTATTAAAAGTTTCTCCGTGAAAGAATTACTTTTGCAATTTTTAGAAATAGTTAAATTTCAAAAATGCTTTACATCAAATATCATCAAATTTTTAAAATTCATAAATTTTACTTATTTTCCGTAAACTTTCGTATTTTCCTGTAAAAAGAATTTTGTCAAGGAAAATAATTTTAATGTCAGGAAATTATCAGGGAAATGTCAGGGAGATTTATAAACTGAAACTTATCACCACCCTGAGTTTTGCAATTTAAAAAAAAAAATGATTTAGAACCAAACAATTTTTTTAAAATAACAATTATTTAACATTTAGTCTTTTATTTTTAAGCTCAGTTCACAATTACAATTTTCGTCCAATTTGAACAAAACCGTTCGTTAAAATTATTTATTTTTGTTATAATTTTTCTCTTTGAGAGATTTTCTACCTGGCGATAAAGCTATTAATTGATTAGCAAAATAAATTTCATCTCTACTTTTAATTTATGTTCAAAATCGTTTTTTAATTTGAAGCAATGCTAACAAATTGAATTGAATAATAAAGGGAAAAATAACATTTTCCACTAAATTCTAGGTTCGCAGTTCTTTTGTCATGTTATCAACATTGCGAACTGAATTCACCTTCAAGGAAAGAATTTTCATTGCTCTAGCATGGCTGCCGAAAGGAACTCTTCAAGTAAAGTTACAAAAAAAAATTAATACTTTTTCATGTGCGATGGAGAATGTAAAAGATGAACAATATTTCTATACTTTAATTTTGAGATACAAAAGGAGAAACGATTAATTCCTAAATTTCATTAGTCCAAACTCTCAAAGGGAATAGACATTAAAATCGAATTTCCACTATCAAATTCCACTGACTATTAAATTCTCATCCAGAATTGACTAATGAAATTTTCATCTCAAAGAAAATAATATTCAACTCAGTAAATTAATAGAAAAAAAATACTAAAAAATATCTTCAAGGCTTTAAGATTTTTCCGAAAATTAAACTCTTCAGAATTTCTAATTTTAATTTCTTCTTCTTCTTAAAATTAGTTTATCGCTTTTCTGCGCGGTTCGCTGATTGGGACCCTCAATTTAATAATCGAAAGAATTGAAAGTCTATTCTTTGAATTTACAGAAATCACATAAATATTAGCTTTTTAGTAAATAAACAGAAAAGAAAATTCTTCCAAAAATAGAAATTCTACCTTAATAAAAATTGGATACTATAGAGTGAAAATGTACAGGAATTAATAATTTCTAGGCTGCCCTGGCACCATTAGCATTAGAACAGGCGAGGAACGCTGAAAATGCAGGCGATATAGAACTAGCAACAGACATTGTACGACTATCTGTAGTGGCTGTTGTGTTTCTTGCACCTCTAGGAGCTATTATAATGATGGCCACTGGACCCTTACTACTAAACAAGATCACAGCTGAGGAACAAGAGAGAAAAAGACGATTAAGTTACTTGCGTATGTTGAGTCTTCAACCTGTCATTAAAAATGACAATCGCAATTTAACTGATATTCCCGAATAATCTTTTTTCCAAATTCCCTGTATTTTCAATTATTATAATAATAAAATTTACAGAAAAGGAAAAATTTACTTTTTGTCTTCTCACTCATAAAATGATTAGAGTTTTGAATAATTTTATTTGTAAATTTCAAGAAAAAAGTGATTGAATTTTGAAAGAATTACTTTTGCAATTTTTAGAAATAGTTAAATTTCAAAAATTCTTTACATTGAAATCATTTGAAATATTTAAATTCCTGTAGACAAAATAAATAGGTATTTAAATAATTATTTTTTAAAAATTATTCTATTTTTGACTGTAATTATTTTTGTCAGAAATAGAAAAAAAAATTTTCAGTACTTTTGATATAATTTCCTATAACATTTTCCCGAATTCCATGACTATTTAATTCATTGCTTCGGAAATTTATTAATTATGTACAATAGAAAAAATAACTCAAGACTATTATAAAGTTTCGAGAGAATTCTATTTGAAATTTCAAAACTTAATTTTTAAAATCTAATTAAATCCAGAATTATTAATACTCACGATTTTAGATTTTCCGCGTCGTAAGATAAGATACATTGACTGCACATTTTTTTTCCAACAGAATAAACTTCCTTCTTGCACAGTTCAGCTATCTGAAAATTAAAACAAAAATTAATTAAAAATAGAATAAATATTAAAAATTCTATATCTTATCAAAAAACATTTTTGTTTGCTCCGTTATTAAACACCGGTAAAAATTTACATAAATTGTTGAAAGCTCCCATCGAAATAAATAACAGGAGCTTTTTAACATAAAAATTATTAATATTTCGTTTAAAAAAAAAATAATATAAAAATGGTAATGAAAGTCGAAAGCCCCTTAGAAAAAAAAATAAACACACATTATTCCTGCGGCTATTTAAAAAATAATGACGATATTAAATTCGGACATGAAAAAGAGCTTTTTTTCCTCCGTGAAAAAGCAATTCAAGTACGATATTAAACTGTCATCAAGTGTAAACGTCATGGAAATTTATAAAACAGGAGTTTTTAAAAATTTATCTTCAAAGAATATTTTTTTTAAATTTGTCAAAAAAATAAAACTAAATAAAACTAAAGCTCTTTTTTTTAAACTTTAGACAATAAAAATATATAAATTCGTTTTTAAATATTTTTTAAATTTCTATTTATTAAAAATTTATTTTTAAAACAAGATTGCCACAAAAATTAAATTTTGTTTTTCCCTGATTTCCAGACAAAATTAAATAATTTATTTCTTTTATGATAGTTGTTCAAGATTTAAGTTATTTAAAAAGAAATTTTTGTCGGAAATTGAAAAAATTGACGGTTTGTATTAGAATTCGTGGTAATTTCATAGTTTATGAGTCAAACAGAAAAGACACAAAAATTCAGAATTTTTTTATGAATTCTAAAAATTTAATTTCTTTCAGTACTTTTACTAAAAATCCCTGACTTTTTCCTGAATTCCCTAACCAGTAGCAACCCTGTTAAAATAATTCTTCTACAAAAAATTCTGTTTTGAAAATTCATTTTTAAAAAATACCAGAAAATACATTTAAAAAAAAAATTTTTCGTTTTAAAAATGAATTGTTTTTTAAAAAATGTATTTTTACGCAATAAATAAAATTCGTGTATTCTAAAATCTCGTTTCCACATAACCGAAGTTTCCTAAAATACACATTTGTTTGCGACCGAGACAATAATTATTGGCAAAGTGAAACTGGGACGCATTACCGACAGTAGTGCACTGCATCTTGTCCATTGTTTGTAAATTGAATTGAGAGTCGAGCAACCGAAGAAGATAAGACAGAATCGGATGCTTTTCAGCTCAATGTGTTCAAAACTTCTTTCATACTTCATTTAATAAGCTATAAACCTAGGCAACGTGTAACCCACTTTGTAAACTTGACTCTAAACTTTCAATGGCACTTATCCATATTATCGTTCTTATTATCTTATTACATTTTTTCCTCAAATATCATTTCTCCATTTTATTTATTTTTTCAATTATATTACACTGTAATAATAAATTACGACTCAGTATAATAATTATATTACAATAGACTCTTCATTAACATTGGAAAAATAAATTATAAAGCAATAATACTACTCGTAATATTATTCTTCCTAATATAATTTATCAGGGTTGCCACAAATATTTAATTTTATTTTTCCTCGACTTTTCCCTGATTTCCAGAAAAAAATTTCACTTTTTCCCTGACCCTAAAGAATATTCTGATTCACTCTAAAAATTATTAGATACTCAAAAAAAATGTTCTATTACATTTATTTACAAACTTCTTTAATTGTAAAATTATTTAAAAACACCAATAACTTCTTTCTTAAATAAATATTTGATCATTATTATTTTTCTGTAGGAATTAAAATTCTTCAAAATATTCAAATTTAAACCTTTTTGAAATTCAACAACTTATAAGAATATTATTACAAAACATGAACAAGACGATCACTCCGGAGTGATCGTCTTCTTCATGTTTTGTAATCATTTAAATTGCCATCAAATTTTTTAAAATAAGTTAATTATTTACAAAAATCATAAAAAAAATCCTTCGCAAGAATTCAATTATTTTTACAAGAATTACAATTTCACAAAAAAAATCAATTATTTAAAAAAAATGTAATAAAATTCGTTGCAATAATTCAATTATTTTTATAAATAATAATAAATCGATTATTCGTTTATTCATTTTTAAATCAGCTTTTATTAGAAAATTCTAAAAAAATTCAATTATTTAAATTAAAAAATAAATAATTTATTGAATAATTGAATGCTTGTTAAAATTGAATTCTCATAAAGAATTTTATCAATAAAATTTTAAAAAATTCAATTCGTTTGACAAACTTAAAAAACATTTTTAAGAATAATTACATTTATCGAGGAATTTGATTAAAATATTGTATAAAAAATAATTCATAAAAATAATAATTAAATAAATAATTAAAATTTTCATAAAATAATTGAATGTCGGAGAAAAATTTTAATATTTATATAAATAATTGAATTCTTACAACGAATTTTATTCAAGTTTATAAAAATAATTGAATTTCGGTGAAGAATTTTATTATTTATAAAAATAATTGAAATTCTTAAAAAGAACTATGTTAAATTTTTTTAAATGTGGACGTCCGCATGAAAAGGGACCACTTTGTCGGTTCTAGATTCCGAGATATTCGCAATTCACTAATTTTGAAGAAAAATATCGAAATTTTTTTTATCTTTTTTTCTTAATCTACAGGGTCTACCACGTCGATTCATGCAGTTTTTATTAATTTATTGACACTCTAAGTATTTTATTTCGTTGTTAGAAAAAAAAAAATGAAAAGGGACCACTTTGTCGGAAATCTGTTATTTTTTCATTGTTTCAAAACGAAGGGAGGAAAAAATTCGAAACCTATTGATTTTCAATCTTAAGGGTGTACTAGACTTAAAACAACTATTATCTGAAAAACTTCCCAGCAGAACCACAGATATTCATATTACAATCTTTGATTTCGTTTTTCTCGAAATGACGTATTTGATACTCCAAACTTTAAAATTCTGTAACTCATCGAATTTTTCACCAAAAAGGTTGTAAGATCACTCAAAATTTTCCAAATTTTGTCAGGAATTCGCCCATATAGATAAGTCCAATAGTGCCAAAGTGGTCCTTTTTCATGCCGACGTCCACAAATAATTAAATTCTTGCGACGAATTTTATAAAAATATTTTTAAATAATTGATAATTTTCGAAAAATTTTATGAAATCTTGTATTTTAACTAATTTAATTCCTGTGAAAAGTTTATAACTTATGAAAATAATTGAATTATTTTGAATTAACTTATTAAAAATTGAATAATTGAATTCCTACGAAATTTTGACAAGAATTTTATTAAAATTCTTAAATATAATTGAATATCAATGAAGAATTTTATTATTTATAAAGATAATTGAAATTTTGACAATATTTCTTTTTTAATTTTTCAACATAATTGAATTTCTGCAAAGAATTTTATTATTATTGTCTCGACTCTTTAATAAAAAATCTAAAATTATCAAAAATTCAAAAAATTTCAAAAATCCGTTATTCTTAAAATTCAACATTTTTTCCATTCTTTTATAGGATTTAGCTTCATTATTTTCGTGCTTTTGGAAAATACTTTACTTATTAAATTGTCTCGACTCTTTGGTAAAAAATCTAAAATTATCAAAAATTCGAAAAATTTCAAAAATCCGATTTTCTTAAAATTCAACATTTTTTTCTCTTTTTTATAGGATTTAGCTTTATTATTTTTGTGCTTTTGGAAAATACTTTACTTATTTAATAGTCTCGACTCTTTGGTAAAAAATCTGAAATTATCGAAAATTATCAAAAATTCAAAAATCCGAATTTCCTAAAATTCAACATTTTTTCTTCTCTTTTATAGGATTTAGCTTCATTATTTTTGTGCTTTTGGAAAATACTTTACTTATTAAATTGTCTCGAATCTTTGGTAAAAAATCTGAAATTATCAAAAATTCGAAAAAATTCAAAAATCCGATTTTCTTAAAATTCAACTTTTTTTCTTCTCTTTTATGGGATTTAGCTTCATTATTTTTGTGCTTTTGGAAAATACTTTACTTATTAAATTGTCTCGACTCTTTGGTAAAAAATCTAAAATTAACAAAAATTCGAAAAAATTCAAAAAATTCGAATTTCTTAAAATTCAACTTTTATCTTCTATTTTATGGGATTTAGCTTCATTATTTTTGTGCTTTTGGTAAATACTTTACTTATTAAATTGTCTCGAATGTTTAGTAAAAAATCTAAAATTATCAAAAATTCGAAAAAATTCAAAAATCCGAATTTCTTAAAATTCAACATTTTGTCTTCTCTTTTATGGGATTTAGCTTCATTATTTTTGTGCTTTTAAAAAATACTTTACTTATTTAATAGTCTTGACTCTTTGATAAAAAATCTAAAATTATCAAAAATTCAAAAAAATTCAAAAATCCGATTTTCTTAAAATTCAACAT